AAACTAGACTCGAGGGCGAATCGGTCCGATTTTAGGTGCCCTAAAGACTGCTTTTAAACTTTTTTTTTACTGCTTTTAGCTTTTAAATGCACTTCACAATAGTTTATTGGAACTGAGGAATTTTTATATTTATGTACATATGTCGGAATCAATTTTGACGAACTTTAAAATTATTTAGGGGTGGTTTTTTAGAGTGCACCACGTTTAATATATTTTTAGACAATTTTATCTCATATCTGCAATTGTGACACTTGTATGTTTGTAGTTAGAGGTAGGACATATGTGGACATATGTGGACATGTCGAGGATATGTGAAGATAGAGAGTTTATTATTAGATGCTTCTATACATAATTCTCATTATTAAGTAACAAATATAATATCATATTATTGTATTACCAACTTGTTGCCATCTTAAACAATTTAATTTTGATTATTCTTAATCTTCACCCAAAAGAACTAGATTTTCATATAAAACATCTGGTAATACATGAATTGCAATGTTTCATAACATTATCACATAAACAGCATATTTAACATTGCAGTTAGCAAACGTATTAAAATAAGAGACGTATGAAAATGTTAAGATAACATATAAACACGAATGCATTTGGTTGTTATTCGCAAATAAGAACAAAAAACATGCACGAAGAAAAATGATATCCACCTGTACGATAGGATGAACACGGCATTAGCGGTTCATTGAAATAATCGAAAGGATCTAAATGTTTGAAAGAATCTGATAAAGTGGCGTGAAGAGTGGTAGGGTTCTTTTCACCGTTGAAGCTTCTCGATCGATGATCAATCGAGTGTTCGAAGACGGGACAAGGACGACCATCTTGCGCGTAATTACAGTAGCTTCCGTCACGGTTTGAGGCCCGGTCGCCGTCCCGGTGCATAATACTTTACAACGCGCACGGGGGATTACAAAAGTGACTCGTCATGCGGCGTAAATACTTAACGGCAGGGCGCATCCTCGTCCTACGGCTCCTACGTGTTCCTTGCACCTGATACTTTCCAACCGGGAGACGCTGATGAATTTCTTTTTTAATCATGGCACCGCCGAAACTACACCGTCACCTGTGATAGCTCCGCCGTGTTGTTCGAATTCGCCACGCGAATCCCGCGTGCACGCGCGAACACATGCCGCGAATATATTAACTTCAAACAAAAACGAGGGATCGTTGAAAATTCTTTGTTATATAAACTTCGTTTGTTTATGATGGTCAATTAGATAATTTATTGCATTTTTTGATATATGCTCTTGGATATCTTCTTTTGATATGTGCACTTGGGTACAGTGTAGGACACTTACTCATATGCTCCTACAATATAGAACAATTAAATATATGCACTTGTATGCAGTTTAGAAAACTTGCATATGCACTTGGACCCAGTAGAAGAAACTTACATGTGTGTACTTGTGTGCAATGTAGGAAACTTGTACATATGCACTTGGATACCATGTAGGGAGCTAGCATATGTACATATGACTATAGTACAGAAAACTTGTATATGTGAACTGTATATATGGGATGTGTATATGGGATGTAATATAAGAAACTTTCATATGTACACATAGATGCAATTTAGAAAACTTGCACATATGCATATGGATGCAGTGTAGGAAATCCACATATATGCACTTATTATGTAACTTACATATGTGCATATGTGTACTTGGATGTAATGGAGTAAATTTATAAAAGACACTTTCATGTGTACATGAATGCAATTTAGAAAACTTGCACATATGCACCTGAATGCAGTGTAGGAAATCCACATATGTGCACTTAGTATGTAACTTACATATGTGCATATGTGTACTTGGATGTAATGGAGTAAATTCATACGTGCACTTGAATACAACATAGAAAGCTTCCATCTAAATAATTGAATACGATATAGTAAATTTATATAAGTACTCTTAAATGCAATATAAGAAACCTACACATATGCATATGGATATGTGTATCCCAACATATGAGACCCGCATATGTGTACTAAATATTATTAAATTAATAAGTGAACGTCAATTATATATTAACCTAAGTAAGAAAGGAGGAAGTACCATAAAAATTATACGAGAGCCAACAAATTAATCTAGTTCCATTGTCACTCACGCCAAAAAATTGACACCGTGGTACCGCGCTTTAATGCCACGACATTAAGACGGCTCTGAATAGAGGGACTACGATCGGCAGAGGTGGAGGAGCATTTAGTGGAACAAAACGAGAGGTCTGGCACATAATAAGTCGCGGCCGCTCGTGCGGGTGTCTCATGAAAGGAGCAAGACAAAGGAGCGGTCTTGAGGCATAATTAAAACGCGTCGAGTGTCCCGTTGATGCGAGACACTGGAAAAGAAGAAACAGGGAGTGATCCCCGTCCCTCTTCAGGTATATACGGGTTCGATTACCGTGTCCAACGCGGTTTCAAAACAGGTCCACGTGAGAGTGGCTACCTCTTGAGCCCCTTCAGCGTCCGTTTCTTTAACGGGAATCGAATAAATCGCGTTTGTAGCCGTCAACGTGCAAAATTTGACGTCTCGTTATGTCGTACCGCTCGTTGAAAGCCAAATAAACGTTGCACGGTTCAAAGCGCGATACGAAAAGAAGAAATCGAGGTGGGAATATTCGAGCTTCGATGAAGACGTGAACGAGATCGGTAGCTGGCAGAAGGCGAAGCCGAATTCACGGCCAGAGTGAATCAGCTCCAACGTTAACCGGCTTCGCAGCGTCCTCTTTTTGGCAGCCCGAGCTGCCCGACGAGCCGACGATTCTCGCTCGGCGAGCGAACCTGTTCGAAATCACTCGAGGTGTTACCGTGGTAACAGTGCGGGCTCGAAACTCGATTAGCAAAGAAAATACGGGAGTATCTCGACGGTCCCGGCGTTGAATCGATCTGGAGCGAAGAGGCTTTTAAGGCGACCGCAACATCTCATTGTCTTTGCCAGACTACCGAATGATTCTGCCGCCTCTTAACGATCCATCGACAGGGAAACGTTTCCATCATGGAAATTATCGGCTCATCTTCAGACGTCTTTCTGGACATTCTTTACAAATACACTGCGCGTTCCAAACTAAATAGTATAAATTCGTTTGAGATAAAACAGCTTCCAACGAACGAATCGGTTTGTAAAATATAAATGAACGAGATCCACAACTTACATGTATTTTACAGATTTGTATACATTGATTCATTAACATTCACAGTCTACTTTATAGTCTTATTCTTCCATAAGAAAATATAATTATCTGGACTTCTTATCAATGCTATTTTCCCACATTTTCTAATGTCATAAACGGGAACAAATTTTTGCAACATTTTTTCAGCCGCGTCATACTTTTTTATTGTAGAGGAATAACAGAGAAAAAAATACGAGTCAAAGGTGTTTGCATTGTTCGTGTTATCTGTCCGTTTCTTGCGGAAGAATTCTTGAGATTCCAGCAGCTGCCGTTCGATAAAACGAATTATAATAGAGACTTCACGAGGTTGTCCTTGCCTCGTCGTATAAAAGTCCTCCGTGGGTGGTACGATGAATCACACTTTCCTGTCGACAAGTCGGGACATCCGTTTCGATCGGCTGTTGGCCGTTTATCTCGAGCACAGAGGATGAGTCGCGTGAGAAGTTCGCCGGCATTTTTGTATCTAATACGTAATCTCACGAGTAATGAGCTGGATCTTTTCTTTTGTACGACGGACCGTCGTTGAGTCGTCGTTACTTTCCTGTGAATTGTTGCTCGCACCTGGGAAGGATGAGCTTATTAATTACAACCGTGCCGCGATGACTGGAAATAAAGCGTTTTCAACGCCGACAACCTGGCGGACAAATTGAAATTCTCATCGCGATCAACGCCTACGCTGATTTTATGCAGCGACTTGTTACCAATAATCACTGACCCCTTTCGTTAACCTTTCGCTAGATGCATGTTCGAGAAACTGATCCTAGAACGGTACGAAGTAAGTGATACCGTTTTTGCACACGTAAGATGAAAGCCAGTTTTACCTCGATGACTGAGTTACATTTTAGTAAATACAGTAGACAGTTATTTTCTGTTCTCATCAAATTTAACATGTATTTTGTGCGAGTTTAAATTTTGATGTGTCGTATAAGTACTATGTGGCGTATAAGTAATTACGCGCAGTATAAGAATATGGAGGTAGCCATCTTGTATAAATTTAGCGTTAGAGGTAGCCATCAAGGTACGCAGAGTTTTGTATGACATTCGATGTGTATTGTGAAATTTCTATGTAAGGCGGTTTTTAAGTGTCGAAGAACTTTATCTGCAATTAACCTTAGTGATCAAAAGGCCCTAACTGTAATTATCTTTAGTGAAGTATCCTTAGTGTATCCTTAGTGAGCTAACTTCATATGCTAACCTTAGTAGACTATGAACTCTATGACTAGCCTTAGTGATTGACGTCACTTAGCTAACGTTTTTCTTACATTAGTGATCAATGAACTATAGTATCATAGTATAGTATGAACTAGTATCCATAAATTAACGTTACTGTTAAAAAGAACCTTATTTCAGTAGATAGCCCCATATAGGTAGCCTTGTGTATAGTTAAACCCAGTGATCAATGAACTCTACTTACAGCTAATCAAATGATCTACGAAACTTAACAGTACTTAACCTAAATGATACTTAACCTAAATAATATCAAACCTAAATGATACTTAACCTAAATGATACCTAACCTAGATGATACCTAACCTAAATGATACCTAATCTAAATGATATCTGAACTAAATGATACCTAACCTAAATGATATCTAACCTAAATGATACCTAATCTAAATGATACCTAACCTAAATGATATCCAACCTAAATGATACCTAATCTAAATGATACCTAACCTAAATGATACCTAATCTAAATGATACCTAACCTAAATAATATCTAACCTAAATGATACCTAACTTAAATGATACCTAATCTACCGAATAAAAAAATATAAAGTATAAAAGTAAAAATGGTTGGTGACATAATGTTTCAGAATGCAGCAGCAATCTGGGACAGGAAACGGAAATACACGACGTACTCTGAGTCCCGGGCCAGGAGGTAGCGATTCGGAAGATTCTGATATATCTCTGGGCGCAACATCGCCTCCGTCACCTAGTTCCTCACCTCCGCCAACTCATCAACCATCTCCTGTTCCTCTCAGGCCCCTTGGACCTCTGCCTCCTCCATCCTTAAATTTCCGCTTCGATCCTTCGCAATCGCAGTTTCGATTCAACCACGCGACGGCCTTCAAATTCCCGCCGGCGGGCTTCCGGTTTG